AAACGTCACCATGATTAAGGAGGTAATGAGAGATCACCCGCAGAGTATAGGCAATAGGAATGGTATACTTAATTTCACAACAGATAAATTTCATTGTTTTATGTGAGGCCTATTTGTAAGGAGAAATGCCTGGAAATTGATGAGGAGTTAGTAAAGAAGTGTTATCACAATGGCCCACCCTGTCCAGAGTAGTTGCAACTTCATCTATGAAGACAGGGTGGTAAGCGAATACATGCAACAATCACAAGTCAGGGTTCGTATTACATTTATCCACATAGGAGGCAACTGCAAATGAACTCAGAGTAATGAGACTCTTGGGGAGAAAGAACAGGACACACAGGGCCACGGGCTCCTCACCAACAGTTGGTGAATAGAAGAGCAGGAGGAAGGACTAAGGAACTTGCTTGTGAGGTATGAGAATAACTTTAAAAAACCCTGTTATCCTTTAAACTGAGTCTCCAGGAGCCCATGGAATCTGGACATATAATTTTTAATTGGTACCAACACTGAAAAAGTTGGAAGGAATGAAATTAATGATAAAAAACCATTTATTTATTTATTTGCAATAGATCCAATCTGTTATCATGGTAGCACACACAGAACTGTTCCTGGTGGTTAAGTACTGCTGAGTCGGCTCCAACTCCTGATGAACTTATGTACAAACCTGCACCACCCTCACAACAGCTGTTGTCTTTAAGCCCATTACTGTACACACTGCACCACTCCAATATTACGCTTTCATATTATGCCCACAGGAAGCACTTTTAATGAGCTATTGCCCATTCATCTATTTGACCACATCTTCAAGTCCAGTGTGTGTGTCTTACACCTACAGCACTGTTTCAGTGCCAGACTGTATCAGCTATGTCTTACGTGCTCAAGAGCCACGTGTAGCTAATGGCTACCATACTGGACCGCACAGGTGCATGGTGTATGTAATATGATATCAACAAACACCAAAAGGTGTAGAAGAGAACTGGATTTGGCTAGATGTCTACCAGGAAAGTATGCCCAGTAAGTTTGCAAATAGCAGTAGCTCTATCATTTTACCAAATCCAGCTCCCACCTCACTGCCATAGAGTCAGTGCTGATGGACTCAACCCTCCCGTGGGCTGATGAGACTGTGACTACTTCTTAGAGCCGAAAGCCCAGTCTTTCTCCAGAGGAGCTGCTGGTGGTTTCTAACTGCCGACCACGGGGATTCGCAGCCCAATATTTAACCACTCTACCAACCAGGATATATTCAAATTACATCACTCAGCCCATATCCAATAAATACAACTACAATCCTTTTAAAGGAACAGAGAAGATAGGCATACTTACCATTTGAAGTGTAGTGATGACTTCATGTTATATTCCACTATTAATGTCTCCTCCTAGCCCTTCAGGGACTGTAATCTCAACAAAAAATGTTCCAAGTCTCTTGTTTATATAGTGGTGCACACAGGACTTTGTCCAAAGCAAAGGATCATCAGAATCAAATGAAATCAAATGAAGCCTGTTACCACCCCAACTCTTGGGAAAGGGAGGAGGAAGCTGACCTCACCATTCATGACAGCCTGAAAGCACTCTCACTGACCTAAACCACAAGGTGCTTACTTGTTCTTTGTGGGTGATTGTGGTCCAGCAAGATGTGCACTGGTCGAGGGAAAAACATATGGACTGAATTTGAGTTCTTGTATGGCTAATCAGCTGGGAAATTAGACTATACCATAAACATGCACACTCAGGACATTTTAAAAATCAGTCTTTAACTTAAGAAACAAAGTAATCAGTTTAAATAGTAGTTACCTAACTGGAAGTTTCCTTATATCAAGTAAAATACATAACTTCACAGCTTATTTGCTTAGACATGGGCTGGAAGGGGTAGGAGTGATAAATATTTGCGTAGTTCCTCTCTCTTTAAATAGTCTAAATGAAGTTCTTACTAATCTGTAGAGGCTATATGCCTTGTCATGGAGTCAATTCCAACTCAATGTTATCTGGAACTCTCTCAAGGGGTGTTCAAGGCCGAAACTTTGTGGAAGGAGACAGCCCCATTTTCTGCCGTGGAGCAGAGTGGATTCAAATGACCAAACTTTTGGTTGTCAGCTGAGTATATAACCACTGGGGCTCCATATACAGGCTGTACAATATCTTATATACTGTGATGTATAATATGTAATATGTATTATTTATGCCATATAACACATGATATAGCTCCCCTCTGAACAGTAATGCATATCAGTTTCTCTGCAGTGAAGTCAATAATACTCTCCTTCTTAGAATTCACTGTCAGTTTCAATATGGGAACCTGCATGCCTGTTATCTCTTACCAGAATGCTGTTTGCTGGCAGCCGGCTACAGGCATAGAGGTTTTATTGGACCTGACTGACAAATATCTGTTTATCCAAGAGATTTCAAGACTAGTACCACTGAGTAAATCCAGATCCTCTGCTTTGTTTCAAACTGGGATATGTACGTGTGTTGTGTATGTGTGTGTGTGGTGGTGGTGTTGTGTTGCATTGCATTGGTCAAATCTGCTGCACAAGACCTCATTAAAGTTTTGAAAAGCAAGAATGTTACTCTGAGGACTAAGGTGCCCTGCCCAAGCATGGTATTTTCAATAGCCTGATGTGCATGCGAAAGTTAGACACCAAATAAGGGAGACGGAACAAATAATCAACGCATTTGAATGTATGGTGCCGGCAAAGAATCTTGAGAGTACCACGGACGGCCCAAAGAACAAACAAATCTGTCTTGGAAGAAGTACAGCCAGAACGCTTCTTAGAAGCAAGGAAGACAAGACTTCGACTCACCTCACATACTTTGGACATGTTATCAGGAGAGACCAGTCCCTGGAGAGGGACATCACACTTGGTAAAGTAGAGGGGCAGAGAAAGAGAGAAAGACCCTCAAGGAGATGGACTGACACAGTGGCTACAACATTGGGTTCAAACACAAGAACAACTGTAAGAACGGTGCACGATCGGGCAGTGTTTCTCCCTGTTGTACATAGAACTGTTATGAGTCAGAACCAAGGCGATAACATCTACCACTCTCTTTATATATATGTGTGTGTATATATATGTGCGTAAATATATATATATATATATTTATATACATATATATATACATATATATATACATACATATGTTTGTTTTCTACAGAGAATTAAAGCTATAGCCTCTCATAGCATATGGAGACCTATAGAAAGCTGAGTCTTTAAAGTTTTTTAATGTAAAGGAGGTGGCTGGAGAGAATAACAAAATGCTGGATATTTCTCTTCAGATCGACAAATGGAAGCACATAAAGCAGAAAGGGTAAAGGGGCAAACTCACCTGCATTGGAGCCAGTCAGATTATAACGTGCGTTCAGCTTTTTGATGATGTTCTCGTGGATTTGGTACCACTCGCTCTCGGTGTTACACCTACAAAACCACGAACACACTGTTAAACAATCACGGTGCAGGACAGCAACCGAGAACTTCAGGGCATACCTGCCCGTTTTGTTACAACCCCTGTAAAGGGCTTCCCGACACCGCCCTGGGAAGCCCTCGCAGCCAGCTGCAGATGACCGTTCGTTTTAGCTTGGTGCTCCAAGTGGAGCGGAAATGTCCACACTGAGTAGTCTGACTATTCAGACAGCTCGTCAGACCGAGATGAACAACTCAGACTCTGCTCCATTCACAAGTTGATTCTGCCTCATAACGATCCTATAAAGTGGGGTCGAACTGACCCTGGATGTTACGAAGATTGTAACTCTATGGGAGTAGAAAGCTTCATCTTTCTCCGGAGGAACAGCTGGTGGTTTTGAACAGCTGACCTTGTGGGTAGCAGCTCAATGCATAACCACTATGCCATCAGGGTTCCTTTCTGCTCACAGATAGGAGAAGATAAAAGAAGGCATCTTGGAATTCACTGCGCACTGTAGAAGGGAGTGCAGGTGAAGAGGCTGATTCAAACCCTCATTACTCCCAAAGCTTTGTTGTTGGAGTAAACAGAATACTAGCTATGCCTCCTTTTGTGCAATATGGATAATAGACCAGAACATGAACTTCACCTAAGCCAAACCCATTGCAGAGCTGATTCCAATTCATAGTGACCTGATGTGTTACGTCCAGAACAGCACTGCCCCACAGATGGTCATGGTCATCCTGACGGAGAGCCCCTGGTGGGAGCGCTGATGCACTTGGTGAAGTGCTTGGGTGGTGACCATAAATGGAGTGGTCTGAACCCACTGGCTGCTCCGTGAGAGAAAGCAGGACAGCTGCTTTAGCCTTGGGGACTCTATCGGGCAGTTCCAGCCTGTCCTTTAGGACACTATGAACGAGCTGTGATTGGGTCAAAGGCAATGTGATCTGTGTTTCGTTTGCTTTGACTGGGTAGTCTTCGTGAAAACAGATCACCAAGCCTTTCTTTCAAGGTACTGCAGAGTGGATTTAAAGTGCCAACCTTTCAGTCAGCAGTCCAACGCAAATGATTGGGCCACCTCTCAAACCAAGGCCATCGTGTGGATGCCAGCTCATGGTGACACCAGTGGGCGGAATAGAACTGCCCTCAATAGTGGTTCTGAGACGGCACACCTTCATGGGAAAGGATCGCCTCCTCTTTCTCCTGAGAAAAGGCTAATGGGTTTGAACAGCTGACCTCAGTTAGCCATCTAATGCAGAACCTGATGCACCACCAGGGCTCTTCTTGTGTCGCCTCCCCCCAAAAGCTCACTGCCATCGAGTTGATGGCAACTCATAATGACCCTGTAGGACAGGGTAGAACTGCCCCCGTGAGTTTCTGAGACTAACCATTTTTGGAAGTAGAAAGGAGTGGCTGGTGGTTTCAAATTGCTGACCTTGCAGTTAGAAGCCCAATGTGTAACCACTACACAACCAGGGCTCCTGTGTCACTTAGAGACCTTAATGATATGCTTGAGCTTATGACCAGCAAATTGCTTCTTATAAGCGAGGACAGGGAGACGTGTTATAAGAAGGGCCCAATTCCCGAAGGCCAACATCATGTGTGGCAACTGAAGCCGAGGGCCAGTCAGTGAAAACGATGAAGACTCAATGAGGAAGAATGACACAGTGACTACAACAATGGGGACGATGTAGCAATGATTGTGAAGGTGACCCAGGACCAAGCAATGCTGCACATTGTTGGTATCAAGGGTCCTATAAGTTAGAACCAACTCCGCGGCACTAAATAAGAGCCGCAAGCCAAGAGCAGCAAGCCCCGTGTGCTGTCTGACCCTTCCCTGAGGAAGGATTACCCCTTAGCTGGGCATGTTTACCTATTTGCCACCATCTTTTTAGAAGCCACGTGGCCCTCCCCAAACCAAAACCATGGCTGCTACATCGCTTCTGAATGCCAAGACCCTGCAGAAGTTTTCGGAGGCTGTCCACCTTCACAGGAGCAGACAGCCTCGTCTCCAAGCACTGACCGACCCAGGGGTTACAGCTCCATCACTCAAAATGTTCCAGAGCATGGCTTTCTTTCCTCGTGGTCTCATCTGCAGCACATCAGTCATGGTGGTGTGATTAGATTTATTTTATGTCATCATCGAAGGCTTTTCCAGGAGGTACTGATGGGAGGTTATTTTCCAGCCAGTTAACAGTGGGCCACCACACAGAGCGCTGAGGCTTGAGAGGCGGGGAAATTAAGATGGAATGAAATCATCCCACCTGTCCAGCTCTAAGACAGCAAATTGCCATTTCGTCCATTCCACTTCAAGTTTTCTTATTTCAGCCCACTGGGGAAGGAAGGAAGATGGCTTGCTTTCTATTAGATAGTTAAGTGATTCCAGATTCGTGCTTTTAACCTATAAAACTCAAAATAAAATCAAAACTTCCAAAGTATGTGACTGGGATATCTTTCAGGCTCAGGCAGGGACTTTGCTATTGTCCTATGTGTGAATGCAGATTGGCTAGGGATTCAGTAACCTGAAGAGGTAGAAATTTCCTCTAAATTGTTTCTAATACTTTCCTAGCATGTTGTACGAAATCCACAGCTCCTTCTTAATCCACAGGGACTGTTAGAATGGATTAGAATTCCTTCTTGTAAGGGCTTTACAATGTGCTGAACTGGCCCTTTGAAGAGCACTTTCTTCCAACTAGAATTATCCAGAACCTTACTTGATGTTTAAGACAAAAAAAAACCCCCCAGACTATAAAAATCACCAAGGGCAGCAGAATGCATTCTTATGAGCACAGCTCCCACAGCAGAGCTGGAAGTCATGGGTTTTCCTCGTCTAGCTGCATAATCAAGGGTAACGAATGTAACTGTGGGGTGGGGAGCGATGTTTTCCCAACAGCTACCTATACTCAAGGAGAATATTCTGAGAAATGATGGGATTGTGTTTGTGAAGGCCACGTGATAGCACCACTAGGGCATTCTAACTCCCACCACTAGGGTGGGAGACGGCATTCAGGAACACGGAACTAGGTGACAAGACAATAGCTCGGGCTCTAGAGTGACTCAGAGTGGGGTTGCTAACCACAAGGTCAGCAATTTGAAACTACCAGCTGCACTGTGGGAGAAAGAGGCTTTGTACTCCCTTAAAGAGTTACAACCACAGAAGCCCACAGGAGCAATTCTATTGCATCCTACAGGTCGCCATGCGTTGGATCCACATGATGGAAGTGAGTTGTTGCGCTTCCATATTACCTGTGTAACTCCAGGCAAGTGGTTGGGCTTCTTTGCCCTCTTATAGGTAAACTGAGGTAAAAATATCTGTTTGGGTTTAAGTAATAAGTGAGGCAAACATTAACCCGCTGCCTAGCACACAGAGAGTGCAGAGTAAAATGGTGGATCCTGCCATCGGTATCCCTTCAGATAGCTAGTGAATTGCCAGGAGAGTTTAGAATGAAGAGTAGGATAGATTTACCCCAACCAAAGAAACTGAGAGTTTGATTAAACAAAACATGGACGACCTTGAGAAGAATGAGCAGCCTCGAACCCGTCGCGTGCTCAGGAGGAACTTGCACCTGGATCAGGAGGCATGTGTGCAAAGGCACCAAGGACACACCGCGTGGCTTAAAATCAGGAAAGGTGTGTGTCAAGGGTTGTGTCCTCTCACCACACTTATTCAATAAAGCGAGCTGTGTGAATTTGTGTAAGTGTCCTATTACAAGCTAGACATACCTGCATTGCATCCTCACCTTTGTGCCCCCTTCCTCTCTAATCCTAAGAGGTTGGTGGGCTGCTTTCCTATTTTACATTGTTAACAAAGAGAGCACAAGCCCGCAGGGGCCAGTAGACCTCCGTCCACCGATGGGGAAAAAGAAAAAGAAAACTATGAACAGAGCTGGGCATATCAACACACATACCCGAGTAAAAAAAAGGGAGCATGCTTGTACTTCGAGGCCACCAAAAATATGGTTCTCAAACCGGACACGTGGGAACCCCAGGGGTCTGCTTCAAGGATCTCACTATAGATCAGCTCTCCATGTCAACACTAGTTGGAGACACTTAAGCAGCAGCATCCAAATCCTATGCTTTTTTTTAAAAATCACTTGATTTAGGACTTGGACTGTATTCTGTAACTTCCTTTGTGGAATAAGGAGGGAAATCACTGAGCTTCTCTTTCTTCAGTCTACTCAGATTTAAGTAACTTACATTGAAAATAATCTCACTTTTCCAAGCATAAATTTACTCACCAGCACAACTGCATATAGTGATTTGGGGGGAGAGATGCCGCCAATCTACACATCTCCTGAGGCCAACCCATCCCTTACTGTAACATTACCCATGTGACCAGTAGGACCGACATGTGAGCGGCACCCACCCCGTCTCCCAACACACGCACACTTCTTACATGTACACTTTCAGGACGAGGTCATCCTTCGTCTCTCCCGTCAGCAGGTCGGCGATGCTCAGAACGGCACAGCCAAAGGGGCGTCGGTATTGGACACTGCAGGCATTCTTCTTTTCTCCTGCCCCCATTCGACCTGCCCAGGAGGAAGCAAGCACCACAGGATCACTTGAGGAGATGCCACTTCCTGAGTGGCATTACAGCTATATAAGGTAGGCCACACGCTATGTGAATGGTGCAATGGAAAGAGCACTGGTTTGGGGGCAACAGAACATGCTGCTCTGATTTGGGATTCTCCTCTCCAGCCAATGAGCTCGGAGACTTGGGGCCCGGAGGGAAGCCCTGGGTACCTGTTTCTGCCTGCAATGCACCAGGACCTGAGCCCCTCTGATGTCTGGTAGCTTCCTTCCCCCAAGGAGGTTGGTGCCACTGCAGGCGGCAATGGTGCCTAGTTATCTTTATTTCTTTTTTCCCCTTAAAAGCAATCATTCAGAAAATCATTTTTAAAGTTTCACTTTCGAAATGAAAACATTTGAAATGTTTTTCAACGTAGCAAGTAGGCCCAGGCAGCAGTTAGCGGTGACCAGGCAGCAGGCTCCTTGGAAGTCACTACTCCCACTCGCCTTCGGGATGGCTTTGAAGATGATTAGATTCTAACTTGCTTTCGCTGCCACACATGTTTAAACACTGGGATAGATGTTACTGCCGTAATTTAAAATTGGTACTTACTTGCAAATAGATAGTTTGTGAAGCAGGAATCAGGCGTTACACGGATGCTGAACTAAACAAGTTAACGTGGGGAGAAAACAAGAAACTGGCTTATCTGACTCCACATGCTTGCCAACGCCTCTAGAAGTTGTTGAAGTTCTCATATCGCACAAGATGACTCTAGCCCTTCCCAAAGACCAATGGGAAGTAGGAAAAAAGAGGTGGTGCTAAGACCTAGAGTGGCTTTCCCACCTCAGGGATCAAGGCAAACCACCTGTGCAAGTTGCCACTTTCCAAAAAATGCTTACAAACAGCAGCCCGAACCCTTCTCACGTGATCAGCGAGAGTCAAAACACACACACGGTTAAAAGAAGGGAGTTGCTCCTAGGATGTACAAAATGGAAGAATTTCAAATACTAGTTTCTCAGGATCAATGTTGTCCCACATGGCTCAATTTCAACCTATGATTTGATAGGCATTCCACCTGTAAACCAAACACTTCGTAATGTCATGTTTGAACTGATTTCTCAACCAATCGTACTTATATAACTGATTTCCAAAAATTTAAAACGTTGGTCATTCCCTAAATGAATCCCCTTACAGAAGTGCCTCAGGGAAGAGATGAGTCAGTCAGGGTGCGCTGTAGCAACAATGAAACATGCAATTTTCCTCTAGTTCTTGAATGCTTCCCCCACCCACTATCACGATCCCAAATCTACCTTACAAATCCGGCTGGACTGGAGGAGGTACACTATACAGATAAAACTGGAAACACAGAATATCCAGGACAGATGATCCCCTCAGGACCAGAGGTGAGAGTTGAGATACCAGGAAGATGGAGGGAAGGTGAGGAAAAAGGGGGAACAGATGACAAGGATGTATATATAACCTCCTCCCTGGGGGACACACAGTGGAGAAGTGGGTGAAGGGAAACGTCAGACCATGTAAGATATGACAAAATAAAAATAATTTATAAATTATCAAGGGAGGGAAGAGGGGGGAGGGAGGGAAAATGAGGAGCTGATACTAAGGGCTCAAGTAGAAAGCAAATGTTTTGAGAATGATGAGGGAAACAAATGTACAAAAGGGCTTGACACAATGGATGGATGTATGGATTGTGATAAGAGTTGTACGAGCCCCCAATATAATGATTTTTTTTAAAAAGTCTCCATTTCTATTTTTAATATTGCTACAAGTTGTACGGGGTTGAAGTACATGAAATATATACTCCATAGCCTTTAGAAGATTTCTGGGAGAAGTTTCCCAAAGTTACTTAAAAGCATGAAAGAATTTGGTAAGTCAAACTGAAAAAAAGGAAGCTTGGAGGACTCTGAACAAGACCATTCCTGAGGCCGCGTCCACCCTACATCCTGATGCACTTGAACAAGGGCAGCGGTGTGGGGCAGTCTTTTCGTTTCACTCACTTCAGCTCAAACTACACAAATGGGGGGTGGGGGTGGGGTGGTTCTACAAATAAGAAAGTTGAGGAATGCCATGAGACAAGTGGAGTAGACTCTGAGATAGTTTCTGTCTTTCTGACCCCTGTGAAGCCTACCAGCCACAGGTCCAGACCACGCAGGTCCTCCAAAATGCCATTTTCAGTTTCTCTCCTGGCTCTGTGGACGCCACTGCATAGAACACCAAGCCTGGTCCAGCTACCCTCCTGAACGGACAACTGACAGGAGCCCTGCTGCTGGCAATACTAGGCTTCCTAAGAATTCACTTTTGGGGGTTGGATTTCAGGGTGCATTCTCTAAGTGGGAATCCCAAGCGGGAAGGACGGTGGAAGGAGGAGAGGAAGTCAAGATATTTATCAACCAGCCAAACAGGGGGAGAGCCAAGTTGGCAAGAATTTAGTACTGGGTTGAGTAGAAGGATATACAATGATTAATTTCTTACTTTTCCTTCCCTATCTTTCCAACTCAAAAAACTGGGCTTAAATTCCCAGACATGAGGCGCTCCTGCTCTCTGCAATCAGTAAGGCTCAGTGTGCCCTTTCCCCACTAAACCCGGTCCGGGGGTGTTCTATAAACACTAAAAAGCATCTGTCGCTGATAGATAACAATTCCTCTGCTCCTTCATTCCCTGCATCAAAGGAGCTGGCCGACAAAGCTAGACCTTTCTTAAGAGTGTCTTGCCTTGAGTCTTTTTTCTTTGCAGTTTCAAAATGTCAAACAGTAAACACGCTCACGCAGCAGGTTTTTGCGATAATCTCCTAAGAGTAGTCATGGCACACAGCTTGAGGGGCAGGTACATTTGGGTTCAACAGTTATTGTGAAGCATGGAATGCATAATGACCATGAAATTCTTGATAAATAATAGCATCACTAATAAAATCCCATGCACAGGAGGGCTTCCAAATGCTCGTGGAAATATTCATTTTCGTTTTCTATGAACAATCTGAAGTCCCCTCATATTTGAAAGGCAAAAGAACCCCATTAAAATAGGGGTTCAGTCCTCAGCTGTCAATTGAAAGGTCAGTAATGTGAACTTACAGCTGTTCTGTATGAAACTGATTCTGCAAAGATTATAGACTTGGAAGTCCTATGGGGCAGGACAACAGCAAGCCCACAGCCACTGGGTTTCCTAGGCTAGAATTGTCAATGGGGCAGATGCCCACGTGTTTCTCCCTTGGAGCCACTGGATGGATCGGAACTGCCAACCTTCCATGTTTTCTAGCACCCCGAACCTCCGTATATCCTTTTACAAACTTTGAAAACCATTTTCTTTCAGGACTGTGGAAGATCGCATTCAAATTTTAGAAGTGTTTGCCTGATGATAGCTAAAACCACATTCTACCTTGTAATGGCCATTATACATCTGAATTAAAGTATGTGTGTGCATATATATATGTAGTTTTTTTTTTAATCATAGAATTATATAACAAGGTGCTTCACTGCCAGTCTGGGAGCAGGTGGGGGGTTGAGCTCACCAACACACAGCAGTTTGTATCCCAACTTCTCTTCTGTCTCACATTTGTCTTGCATGCTCACTTACAAACAGTTTGCTCCTTGTTTTACCAGCTCTCAAGTGGGAAACAGCATAAAAGGAGAAGGGTTTTCCGAATGGATTGTTATGAGAGAAAAAAATAAAAGAGAAACATCGATATCTAACTGAATTGCACAGCTTCTCTCAATGCAAACTGTGGCTAGCCCGTGCAAACAGCCAGGGATGACACAGGTAGAGGCCAACATGGAGGCTGCCTGGTGAAACATTCCTCCCTACAGAAGTACTCCCACGCAAGGAATACAGCGTAGCCAGTGAAGAAGGGGGCTACCATTCGCCGTTACCAGTTGGTTAGCTTTAGCAGAAAGGCTGTGAGGCTTTCCCATATCCATTGTAGCTAGCAACGCTGCCTTCAGTGCATGCTTTGACAGTGTTTAAAGCGAGAGAACACATTCTGTCATATTGGGTGAGTTCATTATATAGCCGTGTGTCTGTCTCTTGGAAGAAGGAATCCTATCACAAATCCGGTGGTCAAATCAAACCCCCCCCCCCCCAGTGGGGGAAGCTAGGGGCATCAAAAGGCGAGGGACACATTTATTTTTCTCTGTAGGCCTTTGTCAGACTCTTAAATACGCTGACCACAATGTAAAAACAGAAGGAAAAAAAATAATCCTCGATTCAGTATTTTCTAACCTTTCACTTGTAGCTTCTTCTAGAAGAGTACATTGTGATAATCAGCACTGGGAAAATGCCAATGGGTGTAGAACTTTCATAAACTGGTAAGAAACTCAGTTCCTGAAAGTTTTCTTGTAAGTGGTTAACAGAAATTAGAATTTTTTTTAAAGCAAATATCAAAATTCTGAATCACCTGAAACAAAATGAACCAAGAAACTACCAACAATTTTCAGAAAGAGGCCCAACTCCACATACGGCAGGTTGGGTGGAAGAAGCTGGAGAAGCCTATGAGTCTTGGAATCCTATGACTCTTGGATTTAGAATTGGCCCTAACTTCCTTCGGATCTCCATCCCAAGTGCATGACAAGCACATGAAGGCTCTCAGCAAGGCTTCTCCTGGGGATCTGCCCCTGGCCCAGGGGCCACGACGGTTGGTACTTACCGATGCGGATAATGTGCACGGTGATGTAAACGTCCTTCCTGAGCTCGCTGCTACCCAAATCCTAACAACGACAAACACAGGTTGGTTAGTTTCGAACCTGTAAAGCACACACACCAGCATTTACGGGTACAGAGTGCATGAATGTCACAAGTAACAGAAACGGAATGCAGACATTCCACATAGAGATTTTCTGTTTTTAATCTCCCAAGCATATGGTTCCCATCCTGGAACAAAAGCACCTCTATGATGAGCTCGCTGTAGGGCTACGGGTGTCCGGGAGTCCTCTGGAAGGGAAGCCCACTCTTCTTTTCTCCATTTACTCTCATTCCCTGGCCCATTCTCTACACTCTTAGTAAAGATATGTACAACGCAAGAAGCCTCGCTGAGTCCCAGCAGAGAAATACTCTGGAACGCAGAGGCCCACAGCAGGTATGGCACGTGCCCTGGGCACCACTTGAAGTGGGTGCCACTGAGCAGTCAGTATTAAACTCAGAGAGGCCCAATGCCCTTACTCAGTGTGGAAGACATCCACAGACATAGCAGGGGAAAGGAAGTCCTGTTGAGTTGCCCCATGTCGGAGCAGCTGATGAAGGCAGGTACGCCTGGCTAAGGCATGGTCACAATGTCTGTTCGGCTTGAAACTGGGGGCCCGGCACCACTTTGAGCTTTCTCCAAGATCCTTACCTTTGCTCCCCCCTTACATGCACTAAGGACACAAAAACACCACGGTGGCTGGTGGTAGCAGGATTCTGAGCACTAACAGCGCTGTGCATGGTTTTCAGCGTTTAACGTAGATTCACGTGGTTCGCTCACAAGAACTCCTTTCTGCTAAAGAAGATGAAGCCCAATGGGAGGACCCCGCCTGGTGGATGAGGCAAGGTCCACTCACTCACCACAAAGAGAGAGCAGTGTCGCTCCGGCTTATCCGGGGCCTTGGGAAGTCCATTTCTGTTCAGCCTCAAGAAAAACCTCTCGCTGCAGGAGAAGCAAAGATGCACACTTGAAACCTAGGTGACACGTCGGGACTCGTTCTTTTTCTTCAATAAATGAACGAGTGAATGTGTGTTCTAGCTGAAAGTTCACACAGCAAATTAGACATGCTTAAAATGAACACTGTTTGTATGTGAACTGTTCTGTACCAAGATTACAGCTTTGACGGCGTGTCTGCATTGTCATTTCCTCCACTCCGTCTGCTTTGGGTCCACTGGTCCAGTGTCCTCCCTTCCTTGCCGTCTCACCTCTCCGACCATGTGGTCTACGCTAATTCATGGTTTGGGAGCCCTTCTTTTCTAATGGTCTTCCTCCTAGCAGGGAGGCTCAACACGCACCAGCCCATCTGCCCAGCATCCAAAGTTTCTTTCTGAGAGGGATCCTTGGTTAAGAAAGGAGCCCTGAACCCTGAGACCAGTCAGCTGCCATCACCTACCACCGGGGAAGGAGAGGCAGTAACACTTTAAGGCGATGTAAGCTGTGGTGCCTGTGACCGAGTGGATGCTTGTGACCCTGAGATGACCTTTACTTCCTGATGTTAGCCCCAATTGATCGGCTTAGGAAATACCATGTTTTCTGTAACTGTGACTCAATATTGCACATAAAAGATAATGTTTTCAAAGAGGCTGCCGATAAGAGACTTCAAAAGAAAAATGAGGTTTTACAAAGAAATTCTTGCCCCCCAAAAGCAGTTCTTTCCCAATATGTGATGCATGATGTTAAAAAATAAATATCATCCCAAGAAAAATCAATAAACCAGCTACGAGCAGCTTCAAATCTCAACAGAATGTCAATGCCCATGTGCCCATGACAGAAATAATCAAATGGCTGGCTGCCTCAGGCTGAGAAGATATAGCCACTATGGAAGAAGGTGCAATTCCTTCAGGATACCTTCATTTAGGGAACATGGGGGGCGGGGAGGGAGCACGTGGGGGGTGGGAAGTTTTAGGACATTAGATTCAAGTCATAGAAACCACCAGCTGCCATGAAGACGATTCTGGCTCCTGGGGGCCTGTGTGCCAGAGTAAACTGCTTCCTAGAGGGGTCAAAGCTGTGACCTTTTGGAAGCGCATAGGCAGGTCTTTCTTCACAGCCCCTCTGGGTGGATTAGAAATGCCAGTCCGCCCATTAGCAGTCATGGTACTGACCATTGTACTGCAGGGCTCCTTTTAGTAACATCTGTTATCCGAAGTCTTCCTTCTCTCATATGAAAGGAAGATGAAAGCCCTATAAACAGATCTTTAAGATAGCAAATAGGAGCGCTGGGAGTGGAGTGGTTATGTGTTGGGCTGCTAACCACAAGGTCAGCAGTTCAAAACCACCAGTCCGTCCACTGGAAAAAAGCGAGGCTTTCTACTCATGTAAAGAGCCACAGTCTTGGAAAGCCAACAAAGCAATATCCTGTCCTATAGACTTACCAAGAATCAGCATCAATTCATGGCGGTGAGTGAGTGAGTGAGTGAGTGAGTGAGTGAGTGAAACAGCACAGGGATTTGAATTTATGGCTTCTTGGAACATTGATTTACTCTCTTTTGTCATCTAAATCTAGGTACATATATTTAAAAGTGTTCAGTGCATGGCTTAATTCTTTTTCTTTCATTATGCATATTCTTTACCTCTCGTATCAGAACTGGCAATCAATACACATTTCCACACCTATTACCTTGGTCTTTAATTTGACACCCTCCCACCCCCACCGAGCAGGTGCAAACAGTAGAGACAAATTGCTACAAGCATCCCCAGTTGAGACTCAAGTTCACATTTTCTTCGGAAGTAGAGGAGGGTGGGAATGACAGAGACAACCTAGGGCACAGAGCTAAATTAATATCAGCCAACTGCCTTTGACTGTAATCCAGAGAAAATGACTGTAAGTGCTTTTCATAGTGGAAGAAAATTCATCATTATTTCAGATTTTCAAGATTTAATAAAAGAAACTGCAAAACTTCATTTTGGGATAAAGGAATGACACTTTTAATAATCATATTGTTAGATAATATTTTCTTTCTGTTAGTGTGAATTCACAACCTGACAGGTATGCTGATAAAGACTTCACAAGGATTAACTAATTTTATCCTCACTGTATACACAAGGGCCCTGGTGGTGTGATAGAGTAAGTCTTGGAATGCTAAACAAAAGGTCAGTTGTTCAAACCCACCAGCTGCCCCATGGAAGAAAAATGAGGCCATCTGTCCCAAAAAATCCCATATAAGGTCACTAGGAGTTGGAAATGACTTAATGGCAATGGCATTATTAATGATTACAATTACCATCATTTTATTATACTTAAACTTAGCTCCACAATCAACACCCAGGAAGCAGCAGCCAATAAATCAAACGGTGCATTACATTTGGCAAATCTGCTACACAAGAAGTCTGTAACACTTTTCAAGGTGTTAACACTTTTCAAGGTGTTAAAGAAACAGAGGCTGAATACTGGTACTTGGCTTTGCTTCTTAGACACAAGTCACCTATGAACATGTGATATTTATTGATTACATTTTGTAGCACAGAACAAAAGCAATGTCACAATTTTTCTTTCTCTTGTGTTACAGACAGGGAGCATCCCACCTCCCATCACTGCCATATGGAATTGACTCCAAGTCGTGCTTACATGTCTCACCTTGTACTTCTGTTTGAAGACCTTGCCAAAACATTCTATGACCTTCTAACGGGTCATTATAAAATGACGAACACCAATAATGAGTATACAGAGCCACTTTGTATATCAAATAGAAGTTGTATGTTTTTACTCTGTATATACGAGGAGGTACCCCAGAAAACAAAAACGGAATTGAACTAGGCAGAGCTAGGTGAGCATCAAGCAACTCACTCTGAGTTGGTGCACTCAGTGGCATTGCCGGAGAAGGTTCTCTCTGGTCACATTGAATTTTTTTGTAAAAGCAGTTTCGCTCGAACCTCGTTTTTTGTGATGGCCGACTTAAGTGAACAGCATACAGCTGTGAAATTTTGTTTCCTGCTTGGGAAAAATGCCGCAGAGACCATTGTGATGTTGAACACAGCTTACAAGGACAGCGCTCTGGGGAAAACTCATGGGTACGAGTGGTTTTTTCATTTCAAAAAATGTGAGATGTTGATCAATGACAAACCTTGTTCTGGACATCCAACAACTTCCTAAACGGATGAAAATGTTGACTTGTAGTGCATTTGGAGTTCATTCATTCAGAATGTTAATCAAGCTTTCGATTTAGAGGTTCTGCAAAGATTGAACAGTGTACAACAAAAAAAGGTCTGATTTGTGACAGACGGGGGACTGGTTTTGCCACCATGACAATGCACCTGCTCACACAGCCATCTCAGTGTGCCAGTTTTTAGCAAAAAGCAGCATGCCTCTCTTGTCCCATGCACCTGACTCACCTGACCTCACTCTGTGCGACTTCTTTTTGTTTCCTCGTGTGCAAAAGGAAATGAAAGGACAGCTATTTGATGATGTAGAAGAGGTGAAGAAAAAATGAGGGAGGTGCTGTCAGATATCCAAACAGATGAGTTAGAAAAATGTTTCAAGTATGGCATTGCAGATTTGACCAATGTATTAAGTGTAATGGAAAGTACTTTGAAGGTGATAAGGTTGTTTTGCAAAAAATGTTAAATACATAGCTTTGAAAAGAAAATCGTTTTTTGGGAGGGTGCCCCTCATATTCAAAATATCAAAACTTTGATCTTTATCCTGATAGAATACAACTACTCCATACGGCCAGGTTCCATCAGTGTTCTGATAAAACAATGTGTCCTAAAGTATTCTGTTTCAGAAATAAACCACTTTATTTCTGTCACTACTTTAATTTCACTAGTCTAGACAGAATCCTGACTATGCAGTATTATCCTGTATCATATCCTGTTTCAGAAAAAATGTCAGTATGTACTAAGCCGTTGACATATCCTTTAACTTAAGCACGGCTTAGGGGCAGATAAAAATAGACTAAGATGAGCACTATAGAGAAGCAAATCATGTGCTTTTCCTTTTCTTTTAAAAGGGGAAAAAAAGAAATTTGGAGGACTTCTTTTTTGACACTTGATATTTTGAAATTATAATTCCAAAGAGCTGCACGTGTTGTTGTTGTTTTAATTTTAGCTTTCTGGCTGTGCTTGTACCTCCAGCACTTCCATACGACGACGACGTTCTGCTCCTCAGTAAGGAAAGGGGGCTCCTTCCTGCTGTGGCCATTTAGCAAACGTGGAACCACCAAGGGCATGCTAACATGTTCTCTGTTCTGCCTGGTTTTGGACAACCTCGTGTGAACTTAATTCTCACAGTCCAAACCCATCCAAGTCAGCCTAGGAACACACCTCCTGAGGAAGCTGATGCTCTACCAACCTTCTCAGCTTGAAGGCAAACACGTCTCTACTAGCTGAGGTGCAAGGGAGCCCAGTTCTGGCAGAATGTGCTGTTGGACAGTCTATGATGGCAGGGCAATGGCTGGACCACGGAGGCCAATTAAAAACAAATCTTTATATACATTTAGTAACTTGCTGCTCCTATACAAATTCATTCCATTGTTCGCTGGCTTTGGTGTTCAGCAAGTAGTTCATTGGCAAATGGTTCTAGAGAAGTATAGCAAGTCATTCTGGAATCATTTGAATTAGAATTATCCACCCACGCACTCACACATGTTTTGCGAATAACAGAATGTAGGCCTGAAGTTCAGGAGGAAAACTGGAACAAATCGGTGGTATTTCATTCTGGATCATCTATAATTCTCTGATCTCTCTCACTTAGACTTTTGCACCGCATGCAAAAGGTATTTTTGGTCTTGTATTTTAAGCTTAAAGGCATCTCTTTAGAAAATAAAGCGAGCTGTGTGAATTTTTTAGAAGTGTCCTATTACAAGATAGACATACCTGCATTGCATCCTCACCTTTGTGCCCCCTTCCTCTCTAATCCTAAGAGGTTTGTGGGCTTCTTTTCTATTACATTGTTAACAACTAGAGCACAAGCCCATGATGGTTAATCTTCATGCTCCATCCAC